ACGCTGACACCTGGGTCAACATGGGTGGGCCCTGAAAACACGCTGCTGAGCAAGAGCAGCAGCCACAGAGGCCTCCCACGTAGGACTCCACTTCGTGAACCGTGCAGAACGGAACTCCTGAGGCAGAAGGCAGACTGGCAAGCAGCTGCTTGGGGCTGAGGGAGGGAACCGTGGCGATGGCCGGACAACACTGCAAATGTACTAAATCACTGGATCGAACACCTTAAAACGGTACATCGTAATGTGTATTTTACAATTTAGAAAAATGGGCGGAGGCACAGGACAAGACAGTGAGCCCAGGCCAGCGTGGCCTGCCCAGAGGTCTCCGGAGTGTCACCCAGAAACGGAGAGCAAACAGGACATGACCTTGGGGTGAACATCAGCATGAGTTTGTGAGGAAGGGACTGCGTGTCCTGGGTGCTAGGACAGTCCTGGCTGACAGTCCTGCCTGGCATCCAAGGGCACTGACTGTGTCCACTGTCCCCCAGACTGCCCCGCCTGGGCCCCTCTGCTCACGAGGAAGGCCCTGCCCACGACCCGTTCTCTGAATGTCCCCGAGCGCTGGGACGAGGACGTGCCCGTCGGAGGGATGAGGGGCTGGAGCGGCATGGGATTGCTGTGTTCCCCCTGCTCCCCCTGGCCTGGGTCTCCTCTCCTCCTGGGGCCCTCCATGTCTGCAGCAGGGGAGGGTCCCCCCCGAGCCCGTGCAGCCGTGGGTGTGGGGGTGAGCGGGGTGGGCTCCACGGCGGAGAGACGGCCCCAATCTCCTTCCGCCGCGGCTAGCTGGGTGACCCCGACCTCTCTGACTGTAACCCCCACGACACCGGGACAGCAAGAGCAGGGTGGCTCCGACCGAACTGTGAGACTGGCTGAGACCGAACTCCTAGTGAAGCCGGGCGGGTGGGCACGGGGTTGGTGGTGGCCGCGCTGTTATCCCTGTCCCCGTCCGCCCGCCCTGGGTGAGGGAGAGACGTGCATTTCCACTGAGATGCAGGAAAACACCCCAAGAAAAACACGGATCCTGACACCAATGTTTACAACGATATTTCAGGTAACCCACCAAAAGTGAACACAGCCCCCCCCCCAGATGACTCAGCCCACTCGCGATGTTCTGGAGGAAGCCCCACTTGACAGCTGAGCCAGAGAATGTGGGCTCTGCACCCTCGGAACTGGCACCCGCGCCCCACGGCCACCCAGTGGGGGTCATGTGCGCCTAGTGCACCCGCAGGAGCCCCCGGGCACCACCAGGCGCCCACGGAGCTGTCGCTGTTCATACATATTCAACAACTGCGTCTGAGCGCTCCCGGGATTCCCGGAGGGTTGCTCAAGGTCATCGAGGACGCGAGAGATGAACCACCCACAGACGCGTGTGTGAAGGGTGCACAGACCCCCCAGCCCCCACAGCATCGCATGCCCACGGGGTCCCGCCACACACGTGGCCTGTTCGAGAATGTCCTCCCTCCGTGCTGACTGGGAAAGACCTTCTCACGGGCCGATCTCAGGCTCCTCACAGCCCTGAAGGCGACGGGGGGGGGGGGGGGGGGGGGCAGGGGGCAGTCCCTCCCAAAGATGGCACCAGACCTGCGTGTGAGCAGCTCCCTCCCGGGGACCCCTGCAGGGACCCCCTTCAGTCTGCCAGGTCGTGGCCCCGGCATCACCGAAGACGGGAGAGGGTGGCAAGCAGCCCCCGAGCACCCCAACACCCTGCTCTGCAGGGCGAGTCCAAATGCACAATTTAGGGCAACGTTGCTCTCGGCACAAAGCCTCGGACGGACGGAGCCGGCCTTTCCGCTTCACCGAGCGGCCTGTGTGGCCCCAGTCAGCAGTCACCTAGCAACCAGCCTAGCAACCTTGGGGCCAAGAGATGAATCCCCCAGCGATCACCATAAGTAACGTCCAAAGGACATCTAGTCTCCGGACGCCATCCAGCAGCACAAAGACCAGGCTCCAAGGGCCTCGCGCCCCAACCACACGCCTGAGACAAAGGAGACGTTTACCTGTTGCTCCACAGCCGAAGGAGATGGCGGGCCGGGCACCCCCGGAGGCGGCCATGAGCAAGAGGACGGCGGTCTGCCCGTGTCAGGAGCGCCCCACCCAGCCAGCCGCCCCCACAGGAGGGCAGGTGGACCTCCTTCCCTGTTTACAGGCAAGAGGGGCCTCTGGGTGTGAGGCTAGTCCCCGGTCAACCGGCCACTCCCGGCCCCACTGGGGGAAGTGACAGCAGCTCCTATGAAGGGCGCACCCACGCAGGGCCTGAGGGAGCCCCACACAAGGGCCTGCGGGCAGGGCCTCTGGCACCGGGGAGGGAAGGTGTCCTGAGCTCGTCCTGCCTGGCACCCAGGCGCTGAGGACGAGTCTGCACCGGGGGTCCCTGGCCTTCGCTTCCAGTGGAGGTGGTCTCGGGCGACATGCCCTGACCCCACTCCCAGTCCCTAACTCAGGGCCTCTGCTGACCTCGCCAGGACACCTGGCCACAGGCCTCACGCCGGAAGAGACACATGGGCTGAGGACACAACAGCCCTCAGAGGAGGGAGCGGCTGGGGCCAGGACACGGGGCAGAGAGGGCGGAGCCGGGATCGCACGGGGAGACGGGGCCTGGCTGCCGGCCACACAGCGCAAGGCTCTGGAGGACGATGACCGGGTCCCTGTGGCTCAGGGCCGGAAGGGTTCCGGTGAGCCTAGGGGAGGTCCCTTGAAGCAGAACCGGCAGCCTGAAGGGTGTCCTGGGGTGGGGCTCCCCGGGACAACTCGTGCTCCCAGAAGCCACGTGACCTCAGGTGTCACAGCCAAGGGCAAGCTGCCTGAGTGCGTGCCCTGTGCCTCAGTTTCCCTCCACTGTGAAACGGAGATGATCACGGTGCATATGTCACGAGGTTTTTACGAGGACTGAAGGGGCCAGCGTGGCTCATGGGGCACTCGGCGAATGTCGGGCTACCCTCTCCTTCACCGGGCAACGGGGGGAGGCTAGTCCCCAGAGGCTTCCCGGGGTGAGTGCCGCTGAGCTGGCACTGAGGTGGATGGGGTGCGGGGTGGGGTGTGGGAGCTGGAGGTGGGGCCCGTGGGAGGTGAGGCCTGTGGGAGATGCGTGTGCAGGAGGTTGTTGGACAGGCCCGGAGTTGTGGGGAGCACCCCTGCCTCTGCCGGGGCCACCTGACCAACGGTTTCACCTGTGAACCCTAAGGGGCTGTAGATGCTGAGCGCGTGCACGCGCCTGCCTGGGCACGTCCGGACTGGAGAGAGGGGTGTACTGGGCATGTGCACACGCCTGCCTGGGCACATCTGGGGCTGGGGAGAGGGGTGTACTGGGCGTGTGCACACGCCTGCCTGGGCACGTCCAGGGCTGGGGAGAGGGGTGTACCGGGCATGTGCACACGCCTGCCTGGGCACGTCCGGGGCTGGGGAGAGGGGTGTACTGGGTGCCACCTGCACTCATCCCCTTAACACCCCGCGCAGGGAGCAGCCAGTCCCCTGGGACAGACACAGGCCTTCTGAGCCTGGGCTCTGGGCAACGGGAGCTGGGTAACCACCCAGAGGCCCAGCTGTGGCTGCTGAGAGCGGCTGGCCAAGGTGCGTCACCCGTGCCCTAAACGAGGGAGCTAGGGACCTGCACCAGATGAGCGCACGGGGAAGCACAGGTGAAGGACATCGGAGCTGGGGGACAGCCTGCGCCCAGTGGACGCTCAGCAGATGAAGAGACAGCCATTCAAGTGCCCTGTGAATAGAGCGCCGGCGCTGGGAGAGGCAGCGGTCGAACCAGGGGCGGGAGACCCAGACTCTCAGGTGTCCAGGTGGTGTCCACCGTGGGAATGATGGCTGTCGTGACCTTCAAATCGCGGTCATGTCCACCTCAACCAGGAGACGGTTCCAGAGCACAGAAGGGGCGGCGGGAGGCTAAGCTGGCTGGCCAGCGAGAAGGGGCAGTACTGACCTTGGCTGAATGAGACCTGGTCCCAGCCATGACTGTCACAGCCAAGCCAGCATCAGCCTGTAGGTCCCCTCAGACCCCAGCAGGAACCTCGGCCGCAGACCTCTGTGCCTCCACCTCCCCACCTGCAGAATGGGCGGCACTAACCAGTCACCTCCAGGCAGGGCTGTGGGGGGTGAGCTGACTCACGAACAGCCCTCCCCCAGCACCTCTGCGGGGTTTTCTCCAGCCCAGCGAGGGGAGGGGAAGGATTAAGGCCACGCCCTGGCTCCCCCAGCCACCTGCAAAGCCCCTCACCTCCTCGGGCTTTGCTGCCTGGAGCTGAGACAGGACCCGCGTGCAAACGCACGTCCCTGCAGGTGCGGGGGCCCGCACGACAGCCACAGGGCCGCTCTCGGGGCCTGGCACCCCTTCCCGGCTGCTGAGGGCCACCAGCTCACCATCTCCCGGCTTCCCAAGGAGCCAGCTTCCAGAACACCCCGACTGCTCCCCGAGCAGCACCGTCAGCGCCCTCAGAGCCCGGCCTGGAGGGCACCCACCGGCCAGGAGCTGCGTCTGCCCGGAAAGCTGCCCACGAGGCTCCCTCCCGAAGTGACGAGGCCGAGGGCCAACCAGCCTCACCCTCCACCCGCCTCGGGGCGGCAAGGACAGGCTGGACGCCACGGCCCGGACGCTGGACGCTCCGAGCCTCGATTTCCCATCTGCAAAATGCACTGGCCCGGCAGTGAGGGCCAGACCTGTCTGGCTGGCCGCAAGCCGGCGACGGCCCTTCGCACGCTGTCTGCTTCCTTCCTGGGGCCGCTAGGCCAAGAGTCCGTGTCTGCTGACGGTTTTCCTGTCTACGACCTTTGTCTAAGGGTTTCAGGGTGGGTTTCCCTGGTTACTAGGACCGAGTAACACGTGATCGTTTGGGAAGATGAAGAAACGGAGACACTTTTAAACCACGAGGAGGTTTAGCACGGCTGGGTCGGTCCAGATCAGGGGTGTCTCGCCCTGTCCCAGCCGCTTCCCGGCCACCTCTGAGCTCGGGACCCTCCCGAGGGCCAGCAGCTTCTCCCTGCCCCGGGCCACTCACCTTAAACCTCTCGGACATGCTGTCGGTGACGCTGACGGTGAACTCAGCTATTTTGTGGACACGCCCTTTGCCTTTCTGGCGGTCAGGTTCATATTCAGTCTTGGTTTTCACCACCACCTTGTCCAGGAAAGAAACAAAGGTCTGGTCAGTGGTGTAGCCAGGGGTCATCAGACACCTGCCCAAAGGGGACACATCCGCGGACACTTGGACTTAAAGAGTCAGCAGAACGGCCACCGCGCGCTGGCCAGCTCCGTGGTGCCAGGACTCAGAGGGGTCACCAGGGACAATCCTGACGGCAGGGGTGGTAACTGAGAGGCAGAGCAGGTCAGGTCCTTGGCCAAGGCCACACAGCCAGCAGGTGGCGCCAACAGGACTCAGCAGGGCGCTGGGCATCAGACCAGGCTCATCGCGGGCCCTTCCCCGGCCCAGGAGGCCGAGGGCGCTCTGGTTTGCGTGGGTCCTTGGGAGCAGCCACGGGTGAAACGAGACGGTCTGAGGGCACGTCTCCCTCCCGGACCAGCACGAAGCAGGACCAGCCTTCAAGGAAATGACTTTGGGCCCATCTGTCTGCACCCCACCATCCTCCTCCCTCTACTGTGAGGTGGGAGATGCTTTTCCAACCAGGACACCTGCCCTGCCTTGTCCCACGCAGACCCTCCACCCATCCTCACCAGCGCGAGGAAGCCCTGGCCTTCCAGCCGAACCCTGCCTCGGACGCTGTCTCCTCACCAGCACGGCCCTCACCACACCCTGCTGCCAGGGACTGCTTGCTTCTGACCCTGACCCCCGGACCAGGAGGCGTTCAGAAGCAGTGTCCAGGGCTCACACGTCTCTAGTCCCCAAGCCCCCACTCCCAGAGCGGGGACCAGAAGTGGCTGTTGGACTGGAGAGCACCCCCATGGCAATGCCCCTTCACTGGGCAGGATGAGAAAAACCCATCAGGTCACACGGCCGTCCCCGGGCAGGCAGCTAGAAGGGTTCTCACTGAGCTGCAACTCGGGACCAGACTCGGGGAGAAGGGGGTCCAGGCTGGGCCTCCCGGGCACACCCCCGTACCCACGCTCCTGCTTTCCCTCTCCTCCCTCCTCCCCGTGCAAGGGGAAGGCATGCTGGGCACGGCAGCCGGGGTGCCACCCTGCCGTCCGCCGAAATCCCAACTCTTCCTGACTAGCCCTGTGACCTTAGCACACACCTGGCCCCTGGGGACCTCAGGGTCCTTGCCTGTATCTCAGCGGGCCCTTCGAGGCGAGGGGATCCATCCACAGCACCTCAGCCCCGTGCAGGCCTTCAGCCTGGGTTCAGCCTGTTTCTGCCACCACGGGGGAGTGACCTTGGGCAAGTCCCTTCGACTCCCCGCGCTCTTCTCCACACCTGTCACGTGGGTGATGGTGGCGGCTGCCTGTAGCGTCAGCAGAGTTGGGGGGCTGAAGCCCGTGGAGCAGAGACCCCGGTTGGTGCCGTCGGCGTTTGGCTGACAGCAGGGACGTGACCTGACCCTGCCGCGGGCTCTGTGCTGACCCGCGCCAAGGGGCCCCCAGAGCCTCGCACTCGGTACATGTTCCCAGAACAGACTGCGCTGACACTATCAGCCCTGGGGCTATGGTCGCCTGGGACAGGTGACCTCACCTCCCTGGACCCAGGCTGTGAGCAACATGTTGCTGCTGTTGGGGCGACAGGTCCTGTCTGAGCGACATCTGCTCTAGCGGGCGGAGCAGGGGCCCTGCCGGAGCTGCTGCGTCCCGCACTGTGGCCGTTAGCCCAGTGACCTTGGGCACATCCTGAACGCAGCTCCGAGACTCAGTTTCCTCCTGTGACCTCAGAAGTCTTCGAGCCCACCCGTCCCTGGCGGAACCCCATCTCTGGGCGCTCCTGCTCGTGGCCCCTCTGCTTGAACACACCCAAAGGCAGGAGGCTCGTGACCTTTCGGAGCCGCCTGGGCTGCTCCACTGGCTGGTCGGGGCCACCTACCTGCACGAAGGCCAGGCGACTGTGTCCCAGCCGGTCCTGGACCGGAACAGACAGGGAGACAGAGGGCCCGACTGAAGGGGGGAATCACCCGGCGCGGCTGCCGGGCGCAGCGTTCCTGGCGTAGGCATGGTCGAAGGCCACCACTCCGGGGCTGGGGGCCTCGGGGCCAGGCTGTGCTGACCCGGCAGGTGTGTCTGGACAGGGAGGGGGGGCTCGAAGCGGGGGCCTCGGGCAGCCAGCCCCTCCTGCGAAGCTCTCCTGGACCACCCGTGTCCCCAGTGGCTCCACCTTGGCCAGGCCCAGGTGTGACCAGCTGATCCTTCCTGACCTGAATCACCTGTGCCGCCGGGCTCCAGCCCTGCCCGCTCCCCAACAGACAATACGGCTGGGGATCAGCCCACTAGGGAGGGCTGAGGGACCCTCTCAAAGGGCCCACCTGGCAGTAAAGGAATGGTCTAGGAAGGGAAGGACCCATCACAGGAAGACCCCCCAACCCCAGGGCCAGCCATCACCACACGAGCCTGAGCCAGACCTCCGCCGGGACTAGATGGCACAGTAAATGCCAACTACTTCCCTGGGATTCACCGGGAACAGATGACCTCACCCCTGGCTGGGGCGGGGGTCGTTCGGAAGCAGCAAGGTGGTGAGACTGGATACAGGTTCACTGTTTCAGGTTTGTGTTGTACCATCGTGTGGACTTTTAAACATCTCATTTATCCTAAGTGTTAAATCCTGAAAACACCCCTAATGAACACAAACTACTTGATCGGATGCTGTAACCCAACAAAAGACAGGATTCTTTCAATTCAGGGAAACGAAAAACAAACCCCCCTGGATGGGTCCCCAGCGACACCGAGGGCAGGAGGGCGCCCTGGAGATTCACCGAAGAAACAAAGGCGGCGGCTGGGTGTAGGAGCGCACCGCCTGCGCATCCGCGGCCAGCCCGGCGGGCGGGCGCTCGGCCCCCGAGGGCCACCTGGCCACGGAGACCGGCGTCTCCTCCGCACTGGGGCGAATCCGGCTGAAGCGGAACCACCCGGGCTGGCGGGGCAGCGGCGCCTGCGCTCACCCCAGACCCAGAGCTGCCTGGTGCGAGGCGCAGGGAGGCGCAGGGGTGGGCGGCAGCTGTGGGGCCGGGGGCGTCCGTCTGACGAGACTCGCACTTAAGTAAAAGGAGGGACCCTTCCCGGCGCGTTCCGCGGTGTGCACGGAGCTGCCCTCTCGGGCCCCACTTCGCGTCCCCAGCACACGCCGCGGGTTTCTTTTGTTACGGCGCCGCCCGAGATTCCGGGGTTCGCACCAGCAGCGGGGTGAGGGGCGTCTCACCTTATCCGGGGGCGGGAACTGCAGCTGATTGACATCGAGGGGCGTCATCAGGGGGATGGTGTCGAAGCCATCCTCCAGCAGCGCCTGCTTGGTGCCCTTCTCCGCGAAATTGTTCCCCAACTTCACCATGGTTCCGGGAGACCCGAGGCTGCCGCCTGCGGAGGGGGAGCGGGGCGAGAGTCACCGCGAGCAGGACCCACCCTCGGTCCCCGTCGCCAGCTCCCGCCGTCTCTCTGGGGAGGGCGAGGAGGACGCGGCGGTCAGCGCCCGGGGTGGGGACAACGTGTCTTCACGCGTTCGGGTCCGCGGACGGCGGCGCAGGGCCGCCCCGCGGGAGGACGAGGGGGCGCTGCCGCTCCCGGCGTGTCCACGGGCGTCCGCGGTGCTGGCGCCGCTGCGCCCGGAGACCCCCGGCCCCGCGGCCGCCGAACTCACCCGCGCCGGCTCCGGCAGGTCTGGGCTCCGGCAGGTCTGGGCTCCCGCAGGTCTGGGCTCCCGCAGGTCTGGGCTCCGACGCGCTCCGAGCCTCCGCGTCCCCCTCTGCTCGCAGCAATGGCGGAGGCGGTGCCGCGCGGCTGGGGCGGGAGCGAGCGATTGGGCTCCCGGCGCCCCCTCCCCCTCCCCCTCCCCCCTCCTTCCCCTCCCCTTCCTCCCCTCCCGCCTCCTTCCTGCCGCTCCCAGGGGCTAATTGTGCGCCGGAGAGTGTGCGCGTGTGGCCGCGGCGCCCCCGCCTTGACGCAGCGCTCGGGGCGCACAAAGGAGCTCCGGGAGGGCGGGAGTGGGCGCTCCCCGGGGACCCCACGCCGCAAACGGGAGGGGAAGGGGCCAGGAGGGAGGTGGGAGCGCGGCCCGGATGGGGGTCGCCGCGGCGGAGGGCACCCCGGAGCTGGAGGCCGGGAATGCGGGCCGCGGAAAGAGGGCTGCGCAACCCTGGGGCGGCGCCCGGGGCGCTAGGCGAGTCGTAGCAAAAGAGGAGGATATCCTATGGCTAAAGGGCCCCCCGAAAGCGGGGGAGGGTGCCCCGTCTGCAGCCGCTCCGACCTGGGAGACTTGAAGGACGGTGAAGGGTTTGGGTGGGGGGTTACCGAAGACGGTGGGTGATGGCAGGGACCGTTCCCTTGGTGCGCAGCTGGGTTGGGGAGGAGGCAATAAAAAGAGGGCGCGCCCCTGTATAAAGGGGGCACCGATGGGAGAGGAGGTGCGGGTGTTAGGTGATGCAGATGTGGGTGGAGCGCTCCCCACAGCTGGGGACGGCTCCCTGGGTCGGGGGACGCCCCAGGGCAGCCAGCGGGAGGATGCTCAGGGCGGAGAGCAGCCGTGTTGGAGGGAGAGGGAAAGGTTTCTTCGATCTGGTCGGAGGAGGAAGCCGAGGTCCCCTCCCGGCAGCCTCAGCCTGCCCGCTCGTCCCCCCACCCGCCGGGCCGTGGCCGCAGCTGCCCGCTGTAAGCCCCGGAACCGGCCGGGCTGCGGGAGCCGCAGGAGGAGCTGGGGGAAGGGGCCGGGGAATCTCAGCCCGAGCTCCCAGGAACCAGGTCCTGCTCGGCGGAGGCACAGAGTGGGTGCTCCCCAAGTCACGCTCACACCCGTGCCCGGGTCCCCCCTTTGCCGGGCGATGGCCCAGGCCCAGCGTTTCCCATCCGAGACACCCCCCCACACACACACACGCACGAGCCCAGAGCAGGAACAGCCTCTGCCCTGCTGGGCCCCAGCCCCGAGCCCTGGCCGTCGCTGGCCTGCGGGCCCCGCCCCTTTCCCAGATGAGGTCACTGGATCCCTTCAGTCACCGCAGGCCCCGGCAGGCCTTTGACTGCAGGGCAGCCCAGGAGGGCTGGTGCCCCAGCAGCCGGCCCTGCCACCGGCCTCAGGGCCCTTTGAAACAGGGCGCATGTGTCCCTAAGTTGTTCGGTTTCCTACGTGGAGCCCAGGCGGCCTGCTCCTGACACGCTGACCCTTCCTGGGCAGGTGAGGAGAGAAGTTAGAAGCTGCCAGGTGCCGGCTGGGGGGTATCTCCTGCCACAGTAAGGTCAGGGGTCAGGAGAAACCCTGGGGCCTCAGGGAAGGAGTGGCTTTGTCCCCACCCCAGTGTTTCACAGACCCCAACATGGCCGTGGACGCGCACACTCTGGTCGGAACCCACGAGGCTGCTGCAGGACAGGCGGTTCTAGACGCCTGGGGACCCCTCCGGGTCAGTCTGTCAGCCGGACCACAGAAGCAAGAAGGACCCTTGCCCTCCCAGCCACCATGCTCTCCTGGGTTCTGAGTGGTGCTGCTCGTTGGGACTGTGCAGCTTTGTTTTTGGGGGGTTCTTTGTGGATGCCCAGACGGGGCCAGGCTCCCTGAGAGTCACACTGGCCGAGCAGAGGCCCGCACGCAGCCCGCACCCAGGAGGGAGAGAAAGGGCGGGCCAGCCGGGGAGGGCAGCAGTGGGCACGGGTGGTCTACACTGCCAGGGCCTGTGGCAAAGCCTGAGGGACAGCAGAGCAGACCTCGTGCGGGAGGAAGGCTGCCACAGCTTGGTGGCTGCCACAGAAAGGGGTCCTGCGGTTCCCGAGGCCGGATGTCCACAGGGAAGGGCCAGGGGCCAAACTCCCACAGACCACGGGGAGCCGGTTCCCGCCTCTGCCTGCCTCCGTGGGCCCCAGGCATCCTTGGCCTGTGGCTCATCACCCCATCTCCGCCTCCGCGGTCACACTCCCTCTTCTCTGTGTCTCGGGCCCACTCGGATCATCCAGAATAAGGTTCTCGTCTCAGAATCCTCGACTTGATCACATATTTTGCTAACACGGTGTGGTTCCCTGTCCCAGGAGCAGATATGGGCCCTGGGGTGGGGGCACCACAGAGCTCATTACGGGTCCCAAGGGTGCAGTGGTTCTGAGAGGGGCCGGGGCTGCCGAGGCCCCGGTCACAGGAGTGGGGACGGCGGATGAGCGATGGTAGCTGTGGACAGGGACTCGGGTGCCCACCGTGCACACGCAGTGAACTCGGCAGGACTCGGTCTCCCCTCCGGACCCCGGATTTGCCCGAGCACCAGCAGTCGACGTGAACCCCCAGGAGCCTTGCAGGACTTCTGACATATGTTTGATTGTTCTAGACGACTCAGGGACACTTCTAGAGTTACGATCCCAAGAACAGACCCATCGCTGCTGGGGCAGGTGCAGTAACGCCACCCCCTCCACCCTGCAGTGACAGCCAGCTGCTCCCCAGGGCCCGGGACCCGTCATTTCCAAGTCCAAGTCCGTCGTGACTCCCCGTGTCCCAGCAGGTAAGCCAGGTTGCTACCGCAGGAGGCCGCCTGGCACAGTGCGGCCCCAGTCCTGCCGCCCCTCTTCCAGCCCTGTGACGAGACAAGTTGCTGCAGTTCTCCGTGCCTCAGTTTCCCCTAATGTGAAATGGAGATGGTGGTACCTCCATCACAGTGGTGCTATGAGAATCAGGTGAGCTATTATGTCTTTAATTTTTTATCCTCACCTAAGGATATTTTTCTACTTCAGATAGAGTGGGAGGGAGAGAGAGAAACATCGACACGAGAGGGACACATCGACTGGTTGCCTCCCACACGACCCCGACCAGGGCCCGGGACAAACGGCCACAGAAGTACGTGCCCTTGGCCGGAATCAAACCTGTGATCATTGGTCCGAGGGCCGATGATCTACTGCTGGGCCAAACCACCCAGGGTGAGCTATTATATATTTTTTTAAAAATGCCTGCCTGGGCTGTAATTAAGGCTTTGACCTCTAATTTGGTCCCCCTGTGGTTTCTGTCCTTGGTCGCTTATGCTAGAACCAGGACGAGGTGGTAGATGTTTGTCGTGGGTGGGATTAGTGCTCAGAGTGACCAAGAAGTCTCTGTCCCCAGGTCCCGGTGAGCCCCTTTTTTAAAAAAAATTTGTTTTGTTAATCCTCACCTGAGGATATTTTTTTCTATTGATTTTTAGAGAGAGTAGAAGGGATGGGGGAAGGGGTAGAAAGAGACACATTGATTGGTTGCTTCCCGCATGACCCCGACCAGGGCTGGGGACCAAATTGCAGCCCAGGTATGTGCCCTTGACTGGGAATCGAACCTGCAACCCTTCGGTGCCCAGGCCGATGCTCTAACCACTGAGCCATGCCGGCCAGTGATGAGCCTCTTTGTAGCTTAGAGAAGTAAATGCTTCGGCCCAGGCCACAGAGAGGGCGGACTCCAGGCTCACCCAGCAGCCTTGCCCGTCACCAGCCTGGCCCCAGGTGAGGGCCGGCCGGTGCCCTGTCCGCGGAGGCTGCAGTCGCCCGGAGCGCCGCCCGCTTCCCACGGCCCAGCCACGTGCCACGTGTGCTTCACCCGCTGGTTTGGTTTGTTCTAACTGGGATATGATTCATATCCCACACAGTTCTCCACTTTATGTTATTTCATTTATTTATATTTAATCCTCGCCCAAGGATATTTTTTTGTTTTTGTTCAGATAAAGTGGGAGGGAGGGAGGGAGAGAAACAGCGATGTGAGAGACACATCGACTGGTTGCCTCCCACGTGACCCCGACCAGGGCTGAGACGAATCGCACTGAGGTGCGCGCCCTTGACTGGAATCGAACCCGAGACTCATTGGTCTGCGGGCCGATGCCCTAACCGCGGAGCCAGACCAGCCAGGGCCAGTTCTCCATTTTAAAATGTGTACTTCACTGAGGTCTTTGTACAACCGTCAGCCCTAATTCCAAAACGTTTTCATTGCCCCAAACAGAAACCCATACCACCGACAGCCACCTGCCCCGAGCCCCAGGGAACCCTACTTTTTCTGTCATTGCCAAGATACCGCTGAAAACAACTGTTTTAGCTTTGTTGCGATGTAATGGAGGTGACACTGTAGAAGTCGAAGGGTCACAGTGTGATGACTTGGTATAAACACTATGAAGTGATCATCACAATAAGGTCAGGTAACACCTGCGTCACCTGACTTCGATAGGGTATGTGTGGGGGAGTTAAGATCGACCTGCACACATCCTGCTGTGTGATGGGTCACGTTTCTCCGCCCCGCTCCTCATTCTCAGTCAGTTCCCTTGACACGGACGGGGAGAAACGGGGCCTCTGGGTGTCTACCCGTGGGAAGGATCTGCCCCACTCTCTCCGTGTCTCCTGAACCCTGCCCTCCAGCCACACCCCCTGCCCCGCCCCCAGAGCCCTCTCCTCTGCCTGGAAGCACCCCTCCCCATTTCTCCTGCAGATTTGACAAACTCATACACATCCTTCAAAGCCCAGATCCAGTGTCACCAACTCCTCGAAGTCTGAGCATAAAGACTGCTTTATGCTCCTCTCCCCCTGAGTTCAGGAGTTTCACCTCCTTCTAGATCACGATCGAATCCTGGAAGAACTTATCCCTTCACGTCCTTATCCCTTGTGCCTGGGGCAGGGCGGGTGCACAGCAGGGCTCCGGACCTGAGAGGACCGAACAGGCATCCACCCATGTGCAGCGGATTCTGACACTAGGTGTCAGGTTTGCAAAGCCAAGTTCAAGTCCGCAGTAAGGACTGTCGTGGTCTAATTGCGCGGAAGGCAGG